ATGAGTCATCAAACCGCCCAAACCTCAATGTTTTATCCACGTGGGCATAAATCAAACGTCACAAACCATGGAACTAACCGACCAATTTCAACATCATGGAATAGATAAAAAAAAATGAACAAGATTAATATGCACCACATAATTTTTCTAGATTATATGTCATGAAGCCACGTGGCATGACATGCTTTGACTATTTGAGGGTGATTGGGAAATGTAAACCCAAGTTTAATTAAGTGGGAGACTATTATAATATTTTGGGATTTTTATATTCTGTATCTTAAAGATTTTAAAATTCTTATTTATACTTTTAAAAATTAAATTTTTTATATTATACCCTCAATTTATTAAAAATATTATAATATAATATTTCTGTTATCTTCCGTTATTTTTCTATCAAATGCCAACTCATTGAAATTGAGAAAAAAATAAATAAAAAATTAACAAAAATGTTACATTGCAATACTTAATATATTATAATATTTAGGGACTTTTTGTACTTTGTACTCTAAAAAATTTTAAATTTTTTATTTATACCTACAATTTATCAAAAATATTTTAATGTAACATTTATATTAACTTTCGTTATTTTTTTTTATCAAAAGTCAATTTATTGATACTGACAAAAAAAATTAATATAAATATTAAATTATAACACCTTTAATAGTGTACTATAAAAAAATTAATCTTTAAAAATATAAAATATATTTTTAAAAAAAATATAAAGTGTAATTCGCCTATTAATATTTTTTGGACTAAAGATAAGGGATTAGGAGCATTTTGCAGGGGAATATTATTATCCGGCTCCTTATTAATAGTAAGAATGATATAATTGATGGCTCTATCATGACAAATGCTGAAAGGCATCGAGTGGGCCCCGCTTACATCAAATGATTGAAGGGTTATCATATTTTCTGAAATAAAAAATAATTATCATGTTTTTATTATACAAATATTGATTTGATTTCAATTTAAGTCACTGACGCAACTCACACGCCAATTTTATAGTGTGTTTGGTATGAAATAAAATTAATGGATAGAAAATGAGATAGAAAGTGGTGTTTTTCTCTGATTGGTATGGAAAAAAAAAAAAGGATAGAAAGAAAAATGGGTGAGAAGTGAATCAATCACTTCCATTATCTTTTATCCACCCGAATTCGGGTCATGATTATAAAGGATGAATTTATTTTTATGTTCTCTACAAAATGATGCAGCCTGCATCTTTTCAAAGGAGTAAATGTGGGCCCACAGTATTTAATTTGTCCAATACAAGCAAAATCATAAAATGGTGGGCCATGAAAACTTTTTAAACTATTGTTTTATATCACACATGACGTTTAATAAATTAAATTTTTTTTAAAAATTTATTCATCCCAAACAAATAAAATAAAAAATTTATTTCTCCTACTTTTTCATCTCTACAACCAAACATCAAGGAGGAAAAACACAATTTTCTCCAAAGGATGAAAAATATATTCTTCATATTTTTTCTTCTCTTTTATTTGCTATCTGTACTAAACATACCAGTAGAATTTTATTAACAAGATAAAAAATAAATTTCAAATTCTCAATTCTAGTCATTTTTTTTTTAAATAACTCGTACAAATTCAATACAACACTACCATTTTTTTTTTTTTGTTTGGTTTTGATGACAAGTAATCCATTAAAGACATAACAATTTAAATTCATCCTTCAAGAATAATCTTTAACTATTTGCGATCAACCGCTAATCACAAATATCAATCAAATCCAAGTAACACACGTGAGACTTAAATTCAATACGTCTAGGAGTGCAACGAGCCTCAGAGTAAACTCAACTAATCTAGTACATTTTCATCAAGAATCATTACGAAACCCTAATGGATTATTTTGTAATATTTTAATTTACAATGCACATAATTATTTTAAAATATTTTAAGATATTTTAATTTATTTTAACCAATATTTTAAGAAATAATTATTAATTATTTTATTTTTTTTCACTTTGTTTTCAAAATAGGTTAAATTTTTTATAAAATACATCGAAACAATTTCATTTCTTAGGTGACCTAAATAATACACCGACACAAAATTTTGACCCGCAAAAAACGGGGCCATTTCGAGTTTCCTTGTTGAGATTATCTACACAAATTTCGTCTTGAAATATTGAATGCTGAAGCATATGCTACTTGGGCTCAAAGTAGTATATCCGAATCAATAAGAAAGATACGGAAATTATGTCCATAATAGCAATGCATCATTACTGTCACTGAAAATGTTAGGTCAGCAAAACTGTAGAGGGGACGTGGATGGGGATTGGGATAGGGATGAGGGTTTTGCTGATTAATTACAGGGAATTTTCCCAAGGTTGATCGAAATTAGAAAACTCTAGTGGGTGGTATTACTTGACAGGGTGGGACTTATCAGCCCCCAAGCCTACCGGTCCGGGGGAGAGGAACAAAACTGCCAAAAATAGAAGGAGTTTGATGATGATAACCAAAAGTGAAGCAACAGAAAACAGAAAACATAATGCATTTTATCATGGAGCCAAATCTTGCATCAATCATACACTGTCATGCACACTGCCAGTGTAATCCTGGGTTAATTAGAGAGCACATTAAACTTTCTGGCAATTGCTAGTTTAGCCAATGTTTGATAAGCTGGACTTTTTACCATAAGAGTGATGATGATCCATTACGTATAGCGCTTCTGCTTCGATTGATTTACAAGAGGAACGACTTACTTATCTGGGTTTGATTCTAAAGGGCTTTCGAGTTTGATATGTGGGCAGGCCCTTTCTGGTTCTCCTCTTGTCCAAAGAATTGTTAGGTCACCTCTCTTCCTCCCCAATGTCAAAAAGGTCCCTGCATCATATGAAACAAGTTAGTGACCATGTAATTGTCAGATTGAACTTCATTCTGCAACCCACTAAGGACCCTCTTTACTTCGAATGACAATGTTACCAAGTGTGAATGGAACGATATAAAGCAGTGCCGGTTGGCCATGGCCATCCATCAAATTTAGTGCCATGTAAGTAATGAGAAGACCTGCATTATATTTCATAGACTTAATATCCCATAATTGTGGCATTCCATAGTTCCAAAATTAAAGTTCATGGCATAAACAAAGCAGATATTATGATGTTGTTTCTCCCTCCTAATCTTTTTTTTTTTTTTCCTGGTAGCCATAACAAGAGTGATTTTAATATCATTTCTCACCTAAACCATAAGCAAACATAGCCCACATGAAGTATCCAGTTCGAAGATTCTTCTTTGCCAACCAATCATACCTGCAAGGAAAATCCTTTTAGAGATCGAATTAAAAACTCATGATCAGCAAAAATTGCTACTGTAAGTCCACTTGTTAAAATTTGCCTAATTTAGTCTTAGCTGTTTGATTGCCAGTGAAGGAAGACCCAAATATTATGGCTTGCATAAATTTTCCAATGCTCACTTGATCCACCTAAGTAGTAGCAGATGTCAAAACTTCCTCTCCTGCCCTCCAATATCTTGGCAACCAAGTGAAGCACTATAGATATGAAAATCGGACCATACACACACAACAGTCACAGAGAGAGATAACATAGTTTCTAGTCTGGCTATTTTGGATTTGACATGTTTTACAATCGAAGTTTCTAGTCTGGCTCATATTCAAGTGGTATAACTTCAGGAAGAGCAATTTAGGGTTGGTGTGGCTCCAAATCTTGAAATCTTAATTCCTCCAACATTCCTATGAGTAACATCCACCATGAATTCTGAACAATTCAACACTCCCCTTAACTAGGAAAAATCATAATTGTATAACAGGTACGAACAATGCTTAAGCATCACATGCTTAAATGCATGAACAATAACAAAACCCTAGCAAATAAAAATGCAGAGCTCATACCTAAGCGAAAACGCTATTACCAGTCCTGGTAAAAGGATGTCACCAAAGCCTATTATGCTGTAACCACCCCATGGATCAAACATGCGTGGGATTTTTAGTAGCATTGGAATACCATCCTCTCCACTTCTGTCACCTTGTGCTACCTATAAGTAGGTAAATTTTCCAAATCACTACAACACTTACAAGCACAATTACTTTGTCCCAATTACCCATGACCTAGCATAGAGATAAAGTTTAAAGGATTAATTACCACAATCATCACACTTTCTTCGAACAACTTCTTAGACACAAATACCCAAAATATGTCGTACAAGAAGGCACAACTTAGGAGTACAGTACCCACCTGGTGTGCAAAACCACCAGAATTATATCAAAGAATTTTTGCAGACAAGGCATTGTGGAAAATATAAAAGAATCCATGAAACGGTCCATGCAAGCTTAAAATATAGTCAGAAACATTGCATTCTAGTTCAAAACAAGTTTGAAAACTTACCTTAAGGTTTGGTACATGTACAATCTGTAAAACTGTAATTATGAGCGCAATTCCCTGATTGGATAACAGCAGAAGGAAACATCATTAGTTGGTTTTGTACCCATTCATGTTTAATCTGAGAGACATTATTGTGGTGTTATCAATATATGAGGCTGGTAGACCAACAGAGAATTCGTAAAAGAGAGCTTAAGCAAGCGTGCACACTATGACAATTTAATTTCTCCAACACTCGGTGCATGCTAGGAATAAAAAAACGTCCGTGTAGGCATCGGCAAACAAAGACAGGAGTTATGAGACTAGATACATAATTGCTGCTTTCTGATATGTTAGTTTAGTTTGTCCAAGTTAGAGAAGCTTAGTTAGGAAAAAAAATCAACAGTGATGATCATCAATCCAAAGGAGGATGACATGTGATCCACCATAAACTTAATGTAAACTTACCATATAAAACACACACACACAGAAGCTATTAGGCAATGGCTAATAATGGAACCATCTTCTCCTCATATCTTACCAGAGGAGGTTTTTTTTTTTTTTTGAACTGTATCAGGGGAGCACAAGGATTGGGCAATCACGTCACAAAGCTTAAAACTTACAGAAGTATGCAGATTTTTTGGGCAAGAGCACAGTTCTTGGACTCAATATAATACATTTGCCCAGACATGTTTGTTTATATAACTATGGATAGTTTTTCAAGAGAAATCTTAGTCACTCGTGCGTGCACACACACAGAGGGGCAATCTCACAATGTGGAAGAGTTAGTTATTTTACTCATAGAAAATGTGGTCTGACACAAGTTCTCATGAAGATAATCTAATTCATGGTGTATGCCAACAAGGTTTCCACTGAAATTTCTGCGAATTACAGGAAGCATAATAGAAAAGTTTATCCTTACAAGTACATCTTGACCTATCCAAGCAAAGGACCGGTCTCGATACACTGCCCAAACAATGGCGAAAGCCATGCAGAATGGAGAAACAGCCAAAGTAAGATATGAGAGCGCTCCAAAGAAAGGTACTTTAATGAATGCTCCTGCAGCAGGTTTGAACCACCTGGAAAAATTATATATCTACTTAGTTCCAGAGCTTTAAAGGCAAGAAGTGAGATCAATTAATAGCAGTAAATGCCCCTATCCACCAGAACATACCTTTGCTAACTAATTTGACTAGGAAAAACTCAGAGAGGCATCTATAGATGCAATGAACCATCAATTTTAAATGCTGGGAATTCATCCCAATCTCATGCTGCAATTTTTTTGATACAGTATCCAACACTGTTATCAAACTCTATTCATAAATAATATAGCATTAGAGGCTCAAGATATGGTATGCAATGAAGTTTAGTGTCCGTCCAATATATAATATCTTCCAGTTCACACATACTTCTGTCATAAATGTAATTCCATCGTTTTGCACTGTTAGGTTTTCTATTGGTAGAGTATCCAATCCAAAACTAAGTAGTAATAAATGGAGAGATCTCCTAAGTATATAAGCCAACACTGGATGGTCCTAATCTATGAAACACGTATACAGATATAGGGATAAGGCAAAGTTCGAAAATACAGTACCCAGAATGGTAAGAATACAACTAGTTAAAATAATATTGTAAATTTTATAGATAATAATAGAATTATAATATATGAAAAACAAAGCATATTTTATAACAATATTAATCATAAGACTTAGAAAATATTAAATTTTTTATTAAAATTGAAATAGATCAAAATAAACATCCATATTTATCAAATATCATTTCCATTAACATTCATAGTCTATAAATTACATAACAAAAAACACAAAAACAAAATAAAGAAATCCTACACCGCTCTTAATAGTTAACAATCATGAGATAAAAAATCATAATCCTGATTGTATCATTGGCGGTGTACAACTAGAAAAAAAAAAAATTTATTATTCAAGATACTTCTAGTCATGTCGGACACGTGTCCGACAGTATCACAACACTCATTTAGCAAATATTCATACTGTCTAGGTCATAATCATTCAAGGTGGGATATAAGTAATTGTTGTCATTTTTTGCACGAGGGATCTGGGCTCAAATGTGAGGTCAAGGTTCAAAATATCGGTCTATACCGATAAGAGTAGGTCGAGTCGTATCCGACTAGGCACCTTCCAAGTCGATACTACTACATGTTATGTTACATATAAACCCCGAATCTTGCACAATTCGGACGAGTCGTCTCCGAATCAATCCAAAGATGTTCATTTATCGTCATCGAATCAATCGATGTGGTGCTACGACACCGCAATATGGCCGAAAATCTCTCACCATGTTCAATGTCTTCTTTTAGGTTGTACTGTCTGATATCATCCTGAAAAACCGTGACCAATGTGTCTCAAAGTCCTTCGAGTTGATGACTAATACTGCAACCTTGGGTCATGTGTGAGACTAACAGACAAAAAGGCAAACATGCATAATGGAAAATTCAAACGGTTAAGATGCTTGGCTCACTAACAACCCAAGGTTAAACTTTAATATCATGTTAGGGCATCCATCCTAAAACCAATTGTCGTAAAGAAACCCATTATTTATATAAACCAAACTCGAATGATCCTAATCATTCGATGTAGAAGGATATTCTTATGATGACCCTTTAGTTTTCACATATAAGTCTTCTCTATCAATTTTTCAGAATATTTCCTTTCATTGACATTCCTCACATGTTATTTTAATCATCGTCCGCACATGTCATCCTTAACTAAACTACTAACATTGTAGCCACCACCATCAAAACTTTCAAAGAAAAAATACTTGTACATGTTGAAGCTTCATAAATTCTTACTACAGCTTAGTGATGACATATATTAAGTCTGTTCATACTTTGGCAAACGTCTTGAAGTTCAGTAAATAATCACATTATTTGAAATTAAATTGGGAATTCAGAACAAAAGGTACATATACTTTGTTAACAAATTATAGCCTGTATCATACAGTAGGTGAGAAGGAAGTGGACATGTAGGACTTGTAGTTGGGGACGCAACTTGGGCGGGTGAACTCGAGTCCAACCCGAAAAAATCAAGGCTTGGGTTGAGATTTTAAAATTTAGGTTGAGCTTGGGCCAAAAAAACCCAACCCAAAAATAGAACTTGGATTCAACCTGAAATATATATAGTTTAATATAACGAGAAAGAGTTAGTCAACTAGGGTTGGGTTGTTCGCTTTTTCCATTTGCACCGCTGCTCTCTTCTCTATCTTTCTCATCTCTTAGTCGCCTCTCATCTCTCCCCCATCTCTCATTGTGTTCAACCTTCGATCGTGTTCCTCCATCAAAATCAGGTAATACTTTATTCTTTCATCTCTCCAAATTAGTGCCGTTGTGAATAATAACCAGAAGACTCCACATCTTTGATCCTTATTCCTTCATCCCTGTTGTCCAGTAAGGGCACTAGACAAATTGTCTAAGATTAGGGTTTGGATTATCCATGACATAATTACAAACCCATTCTTTAAATGTTAGGGTTTTGAACATTTTGGAGCATTATTTTATTTTGTGAGAAAGCATGGGATGATAAAGTTGGATGGAAAACAAAAGGAAAAAGAAAATGATGGGATATAGAGTTTGTGGAGGAATTATTGTTGTAGGAATGCACTGTGAATTTGGAAGTGGAAAACATGATGACCCTGCTATTTTTATGAAGGTCATTATTCTGTGTGGTCTAGTGGAGATGTTGGGTTTTGGTTTATACCTGTTTATTCTATGAAAGGTTTACAGGTTCAACCCGAATTGACTAACCCGAAATTTAACAAATTAAGGTATCTTGGGTAGAGTACTTCGGGTATAAAGTCGGACTCGGATTGGGTTAGAGTTGAAGGTTTCATAACTCGGGTTGGGCTTGGGTTGATTTTCTAACCCGCCCAACCCACCCTAGCTAATATGTGGTGTATACATGCAGCTGCTTTGCAGCATAATGAAAGACAAATTAAAAAAGGAAAGAAAAGAACAGAAAAGAAAGAAAGATTGTACCTCGAAAGTAAGGCAACAATGCAAGTTTGCAGACCCTGCAAATACAAGAAACTAACCATTTAGGATTACATTCAACAGCTCAGGCAAACAGTAAAGACAAACTAACCGACACCTATAGCAGTCAGACTCCAAAAGCTACATGCATAATATTATCTACAAGTGGACCCGTGAGTATATGTGGACACAAACAATAAATAAAAAGTCAAAAAGAAGACTCACACCTCTACACCACCCATGCAGAAAAGAACCACCAAAAGCTTAACGAACCACAATGACATTAGTTTGTAAATTAGAATCAAGAAGCATGATGCGATGACAACAAATAAGACTGCTGATATTGTGTTGATGTCCACCACACTGCTCCCACTAATAGCTTTGGTGGCTGGAACTTCTTCACAAGCATCCTACAAGAACAAAATAACTTCATACACCAGTATAGGCTGCCAAGAAGAAAGCCCCTACTTTAGAAAAGAGAAATGTTTAGTAATTAAGGACTGGGAATGGACAACCTTTAATAGTTTGTCCTGTTCTATAGCTGCTTCTCTAGCACTCCATGCTGACCAATAAGAGGCACAGACGATAGTACCAACCGCCATCAGCCACAGAAATACTTCTGCTATGTCAACTACTGGTCGTCGTGGAGAGTACAACTGCACAGACACTGGAGAAAAAGTCTAAAACCTTCAGAAAAGTTTTGTAGATAAAGTCAGCCTTCTTCAGAAAACAATCTTGTAAGAGTGGAGAAAAACATCCATGGCCTCATTTTTATCAATTCTCCAACACAAAGACTCTTAATAGTTTTCAACCTAATCAACTGCATTTTCTAGAGGGTTATTTAAAAAAGGTCAATGACAGTTTTCAACCTGATCATCTGAATTCTCTAGAGGGTTATTCAAAAAAAGTGATAACTTTCATTCACTATTAATGACAATGTGAACTGGAATAAAAAACAATCTCTCTCTCCCTCCCTCCCTGCTTGAGTATGTTTATGCGTGTGTCATTACTTCTCTTAAACCTGCATGATCAAATGACAATTCTAAATCCATTCATAGGAGATTTTGCATTATCGGTGCACTTCCAAGACACCTAGTAGCATTGACACATTTCTACCTTCAAAAGGAAGCGACTCGCTTTTTACGTTTTTCCAGAATGATCAAATGACGTCTCTAGATCCTTTCATATTGGATTCTTCATTCCATGCATCCTTTCAGGAAACCTACTTGCATTAAGACGTCTCTACCTTCAAGGGAGAGTTCCTAAGGTCACACCAATGACGTTGTTCCAATGCACCAGTACTCCAGTAGCACTAAAACTTTTAATAACATCTATTCACGAATCTTGATTTGGCAACCAAAGTGCATTCATATCCTCATGATCCGTATAACCCAGGTCATTTTGTTCTGTCCTCTTTTAAAAACAAATATGCTTCTAGATCTATGATGCAGCTGTTTGGTTTCCAGACAAAATTCGAACATAACAAGTTAGGTCTTTCTGGCCATGACCACAAAGAGCAGCAGTCCATGGAGTAGGCCCAAAACAGAAAGAACTATTTGCAAGAGGAAAAAAGAAATTGTTCCAGTGAAAAATAACTAGACAATTATGTTTGCTACAAGCAGTAAAATGTTCAGCTGAACATGGGATTCCTCTGGCGAACAAACTATGACTTTTGATTTGCCACCATGAATATTATAGAAAAGCTTACCTGACGAACTGTTCAGTAACATTTTTTCCAAACTTGTGCCAGCATCTTGTGGGAGCATGATAGCAGGTATATGTATGTCTAGATTAGTCTCATCTGGATCACAAACCATCTTGTAGAGTTCTGCAGTGAAAATGATGTACAAAAGGATAACTGATGACAATGGAAACAACAACATACTAATTGTTTGGAGTAATGACCTCCAAATTATAGCATAAGAATAAAAGAGAAGAAAAATATAGAATGAGTATCACCAATTCTTATGATTACTTTTGTTAACTAATTCGCATTAGGTGGAGTGGCCCCTCACAAATATAAACCAATCGTTGGGTCTACTCAATTTTTCAATGTAAGATAGCTCTACACACACCCCTCACATGCGATGTGGACTCACATGTGGGCTAATAAACCGAACTGAAATAGACAAACCAACAAACTGGAGCTTAATTGAAACAGACATGGAATTTACCTCATTGTTTACCTCACATTTCCTGACAAAACAATCTCTTACCTGACAAAACCAAGATACTCAATGTTTACCTCACATTTCCACATGTTAAACAATTCCTTACCTTATGTGACTCATCCTTATGTGTAGATGCAATTAAACTATTAGATCATCTACTTAACCTTAAAAAAAACATCATAGATTGTCTTACAACAGTAACATAACTTTCTTGAACACTTCAATGTAATCCCATCCTTTGCCTGTTTCATGAGGAGCTGCCTAAACATTGAATTTGTCTCAATCAATTCTAGAGTTTGTTTCTTTTTCTTTTTTGACAGGTCAGTTATAAGCTTAATTTTAACTGACTATGATTACAATAGTCGACAATGTAAGGCCAGAATTTGAGAGATGCCATGGAAGGGTTAGCCCTGCAATTTCTTCAATAGGTTGTGAAATGGATGGCCATATAGCTCCATAGATGCCATCGGCTAGTTTACCTCCACCACTTCTAATATTAAAGACAAATAAATTTTGAAAGACAAACTACATCTGTAGCCACTAACTTTACTAAGCACATAAAATTTATAAGCACAACCATGGTCACATATTGGGAATTGGGACGGCATAGTGTGTATTTGGAAACAATATCAAGGATACAAACAATCATCTTCATATTCAAGGGGAATCTTTTTTTTTTAAGTAGCAAGGGGAATCTTATGACCTCCATGAATCATCCTTTTTATGCAAAGAATTTGTGTTTTTAGAGTAAACCACGAATGAGTTACTTCTCTTCAACCTCCAAAATGGTTGCATAATAAATTTCCAAATAAATTGCCCAGTTCAGCAGTTAGAAGAAATAAATGCTAAGTAGGTTTTTAAGAAAAATAAGCATATCAATCACTAACAATTAACCTAACTATATGCAATAACCTGATAAGGTGGTTTAGGTTTACTACTGTAACCTTTCAGATGCCATTGCTGTCTAATCACAATATACGTTGTTTCTAAATAACACTCACTGGCTATCTGCCATCCATAGGTGTTTAATAAATGTGCTCTATTTTTCTGGGTACAAGAAGTTTGTTATTGAACATTTGTTTGAACAGTAGCATATCAATGCTAAGGAGGTCTTTCAAAAAAATAAGCCTATCAATCAACACTAGCATCAGTCACTAAAAATAAGATTGCAGTTACCTTTCTGGTTATTTACAATGAGGACTGCCGAAGCACCTGCAGCTTGTGCAACATTTGCCTTGGTCGTGAATTTGCAGTGACCTCGGTCTACCATGATGATATCTCCAGCAAGCTAATATATCCAAACAATAAATCAATTGGTATCAACTAAGAACTAGTAAGTCTCCAAAATACCAAATGTATGTAGATCAAATATATTGATGATAGACAGAAAACCTTGTTCTTTGGTGGACTACAGCAATCCCGAGGGTCTGAAAGAGTCAGGTGAGTTTGGTTTGCATTTTTCTCTTTTGACACAATGGTAGTGCCAAATCTAGCACCAACGCCAACAAACTCAGCGTCCTCTATGCCATCAACCCAGGTTTGAACTTTCACCTAAGGAAAGAAAGAACAGACTGATGAATATATGATACTGACAGAAATCACCAAAAACACTGACAATAAGCGAGTATAAACCTTACAACGTCTAGATAAAAACGACTAGATAAAAATGCTAGCTTGAGTGGGCCACTTCAATTAAAAACCTTACAACGTCCTAATCCAAATAGGATAATCAAAGTATGTGCACAGCACACTTATCTTCAAACTAGCACAAGAAACAAATTGAAAGAAAAGGAAAAAGGAACTCAATTATAAGGAAAAAGTCAAGTAATGTCACAATCCCTGACCTTCCTCAAAAAGGACACTTCATATATGATACCATTTGATCTCCAAAATTTAATTTTGAATTAGGTATGGAGGACCCTTTTATGCTTATATTTGGCGAGAAATCGAAAAAAATCAAATTGAGTACATAAAATTAAGTTAAATTTACTTAAAAATAACACAAGTTGAATGAAAGTAAGCCTCGGTACAAGAACCCTTTTGCATTAACCTTATTATCAATACATAAACACACATGCAGTTGTATTGCAGGTGCATATAAAAGACAAATTAACTAAAAGAAAAAAAAGAAGACATGGTTGAGGAATCACAGAACAATAAACTGGATCGAAGCTAAAACGAGCATTGGGTATCATTACCAGTACGAAATTGTTCTCACAACCAGGCTTCTTGGGAGCGGAATCGTCGTCGTGAACTATGTCACCAGCCGTAACCGTAGTCGGATTGTTGAAAACGAGTACAAGGATTGCGTAAATACACAGAATAACAGAGCAAAGACTCTGTAAAGCCATAAGAGTTCTTCAGAAGCTCGATGCTTCTCCTTTCACAGCATCAGAACCTCCAAACAATATATAAATGCTTATGAAGAGAGAGAGAGAGAGAGAGAGAGAGAGAGAGATTGGTAGACAGATTGATAAGGTAATCAAAAGCAGTTGTACAAAGACTAATTTTTGTGCTAAAAATGACTAAACAACAAATAAATGAAGGATCTACTGGGGGAGTGGTGATCCTTGCAGTCTTACAGACGCGACATTTACCGACCAAATTCCGGGGTACGACGTCGTTTCAATGTTGCGTAGGTTATCCGCCTCACACTGGGCTAAAAAACAGAAGGGTAAGAATAGCAGTTGTCTATGGTAAAAATAAAAAAAATTTGGGTAGTGGGTACGCTATTAACTTTTATTGTAATATTTTTATCATTAATGTAATATAAAAAAAATAATAAAAATAATTACTATAATAACAATAAAAGTACTCACAGTTTGTTTTTTTCTTTCTCTAGATACAGAAAAAAACAATATTTGGTTTCGACGAGATGCATCAGCCAAACTTTTTTACATCGTTCATATAAGTCAAACTTAGAGTGTGTGACTTTATGCTTCTTCATTACTAAACTAATTGAACTATGTCGTTTTCCTTTTTTGGTCATAAATACATTATCCTTTCCACTTTTGGGTGCACGGTTACATGGAGTACAAAGAGAAATGAAGTGAAAGAGGAGAGGAGGAGGAGGAGGCTTTCCCATTAGTCGACCTTTATGTTTCGTTTGGTAGAGAGGATAAAAAGTATAAATGATAAAAAATAAGAGAGATACATTTTCTATTTTTTAAGGATGAAAAATAGGAAGGATATATTTTTCTTCCTTTGTATTTGATTAGATAGATGAAAAATAAAAATATTTTTTTTTTTTTGTGTTGACTAAGATTAAAGATGACAATCGAGTTGTATCGTATCAGATTCGTGTTAAGTCATTACAGATTTGTGTCGAATATTAGTCAAACCTAACTTAATTCATTTAACTAATTGTGCCGTGTCGAGTTGAGAGTTGACCTATTTATTTTCCTATTAAGTTCGAATCGTGTCATCGTATTGATTCAAAAATTTTCACTCTTAGTTAAGATGGAAAAAATATTTTTTTTTAATTTAATATTTTTTTTTTTTTAAATTTATTTTTAAAATTTTTTAATATATATACATACATATTTTACCATTGTATTTTTATATAAAATTAATAATATATGTATATATAAAAAAGAATATAGACAAATAAAATACATCTCAACACAAATAATTAACTTTTTATCCACTCTCTTTCCAATTTTAGAGAGATTAATTTTGGTGAGTTGGAAAAAAAGTTAATTCATCTCTTTTTAAATCCTTCCTACTTTTCTTCTTTACAAAACATGATATTTTATTTATCTATCTAATTTTTTATCCTCTTATTTTTTTATCGTACCAAACAGAGGGTTAGACTATCTCAAATCGACAAGGATAGGAGAAGGGAAAGAACACTCCCTTTTTCTTTCCACTTTTTTAGTTTCGTTTCAGTGCACAAGCTGTCCAAGCATTAACCGATTAACGCACGAACTCGAACAAGAGTTTTTCCTAAAAACTAGATTCTTTAATGTTGGTTTGCTGGGTTCTAGGAATCAATTCAACTCGAAACTTACTATTTTTTATTCTTCCTATTTTTCATCCTCCCTACTAAATGGAGCATAAGAAAAATCATAAACATAGTTCAAAACATGTTGGACCACCTCGAAACTTATTAAAATACCTCAAAACATAGAAATTTTGATATTTAATCAATAATTTATTTTCGTCTTCACGAAAATAAAAACATTTTGGACATTTCGAAACGAAATTTAGTTTCTTGCTTCCAAGCAAACACTGTGGGAAAGACTCTTCTCTCTCTCTTGGGAAGCCACTGCCTCCCACCTTCCTTTAGTTTTCTACCCCTCCAGGCAAATAGTCTGTATTGACAAGTCATTCCTTGACTGCAGGATAACATATATCTGGTGATAACAATACTCCAGAATCATAATACAACTTAAGAGCATAGAAAAGAATGATTGGCACCCTAGCTTGCGAATATGGTAGATCTCCAGATAGCTGAATTTGCAAAATATGACAAGATTCAAACGAAAAATAAACTCCTGCTCATCTCATTCACCTCAATAGCACAATCAAAAGAAAAATTGGAAGTTTGTTGTAGCTAATCAATCTCATATCAACAATTCCTGTAAAGGCAACAAATCGGAAGAATCTTGTATATAAAAGTTTCTAATATTAATATTGGTACGAGCATTACCATTTTTGTGACTAAATTGAAAAAAAAAAGGATATCTACAATGGGTAAGGGGGTTATGATGCAATTTCAAGTGAATTATTGTCAATCATATTCAAGGTGGAGTGGTATGAAGGTATGTACCAGCTCATAGAAAGAGAAGACCACTAAGATTGCTTCCATACAACCAAATTGGAAAAGAGCTTATAGCCAGATTATGTGATTTAACATGCCTACTTCTCAGCAAACCTTTCCAAATGGAAATTCAAGACACAAGCTGCTGACAGACAATATGGGTTAGCCGGTAAAACATAGAACAGCCAATTGTGTATTTTTCTGCATACCTTTCAAACCAAATTAGCCGAGAAACTCCAAATTTTAGTTTTTTTTTCACTCTATTATGTAGTGGATCAGCAACAAATTCTTGAATCAAATAGCTCAGTTTCAGTCAAAACAAGGAAAAACGAGGAAGCAGGTGTCTGACTCGGCCTTAGGAAGTCATTCCCTTTATGGAAAGACTGAATAGGAAAGGCATAACCAGCTCCATTTTCGCAGAGAGAATTGTTAAAAAGTCGAATTCCTATCCACCAGTATTCCTCCAGCTAGTTTGGGAAAGGATGATCATCTTTGGAATATTGGCCTCCAAATGCCTTGATTCCACCCATCAGTGTTCTACTTCATATGGCCGCGTAGATTATTGGCAACAAAGTGCTCTGGTAAAGAATGACTTGCCCCAGAGAATCTCATGGATCCTTTATTCGTCCTCAAACCCAAAATGTTATTGCCTCGGAATGAATTGTCCAGAACAACTTGACTTGGAATGTTGAAACTATTCTCCCTCCCTTGATGAAGTGGAATCGGGAACCCAGTATCGATACCAGACGTTCCAGTGACCTGATGGTCAAAATAACCCATGCTTCTGGATCCAATTTGAGCAAAATTTCCAAATTGTTCATCTTGTTGGATGCCCGAGAAGTGTCCATGATGAGCATTCGCATCCGTTATCAAATTTGCTCTTTCTGAATTCATGCTTGTATCATTCCCAGCCACTCCAGGCTGACTATAATTTCTTGAAGAAGAATCATTCCTTTGGTTTTCTATTTGGGCTTCTGATAGGACAGAGGGTAAAGTCAAATATGAAGAAGAAACTAACTGATCAGACTGATGAAAGGAATATATGGGTTTCTTAACAGATAAACTCCGCTCTTCCCCTTGGTCCTTTTCATTTGGCGTAGTAGTTCCAGTGGCTTGGGCATGGTTAACTTGCTTTTCAAGGACATTGGGACAGTTATTTGAAGCAGCAGTCACATTGCTCCTTCCAGACCTGTCTAAGGATCCAACATTGCATTTCTGAGTTTTCATGCCTGATTCGATGCTGTTCTGTTGCTGCAACCCCAACTTCCGCACACAACCAGCTTCTTCAATTGTTGGCCTAGAGGCTGACTCAATGGGAATCAATTTTTTCATCTCCTCTCTCATCCGTGCAAACATGCTTTCTCTTGCAACTTTAAGCTCCTCTAATATGGACTCCATGAAAACTTTAAAGTCATCCATTGAATCAGGCTCATGACTTTGCTTTCTCTTCTTTTTATTGCCTTCTTTTGTAGAATTCCTTTTTGTCTTATTCTTTACACCCTCACTTTTATTGCTTGACCCAATATGCATCTTGTTAGCTTTCCCAAACTCGAAATGAGCACCCATACCAGGATCTAGTAGATCTTTCTGTCGAGATCTTGGAATATTGATGTTTTCATTATTTTCAGGCAAAATCAAATTGGAAACCAGCTTATGCTTCTTGAGAACCGGCTCGCCACTGGAACTTGATTTGGAATCATTGCTTGAAGAATCAAAGTCATCCTCCCTTCTCCTGAACTGCCAGCGCTGCTGAAATTTCTGGTCTTGGCTCATTTTTATGATTGGGTTTGTCACAAAAATCAAGAGATTCAAAACTCAGGATCATGCAATGATACTCGATGTGCAAGAAATTATAGAATCTGCATTAAATAATTAGACCCCCTTCTCATGACTGCTTCTACGGGCAGCTTAAAACAAGAAAAATGCGGACAAAGGACTTCCTCCCCAACTGTAACTTGAACCCATCTCAAAGATCAACACTCTAGCAGGACTCTTCTCACAAACTGAATTCTCTGAAGCAACATTACTTAAAATTTCGTTCAATCATTTTCGACCTTCCGCTTTGCTCCAGCTTTATTTTAGAAAACAAAAATGATCTGACAATAGAGGAAAACAATTAAAAAGGAATCACAAAATCTCTCAAGTACTATATCACGACAAAACACGCAATCATACTAACAGATAGATCACAGCCAAATAAGGATGGAATTTCAAAATAATTTATTGCAAAGAAGAAACACCTAATTGCAGCAACTTAAATAATTACTGCAAAATTCACCAAAGCAGTATGGTAATATTTATTGTAATCACTTTTCCCCAAAAAAGCCCGCGTGAAAAATAATTACCAGAAAAAAAAAATAGTTATAAAAGATGGTCATAAATTCAAATCATAAAAATTATATCAAAATCAAGAAAAATCCACATGAAGAGGCAACATCACAATTTATACACTGTATGCATGGTAAAAATCAATACAATTGAAGAAAAGATATGCATACTCACCAAGGCAATCATCCAAATAATCAAAACCTTAGGCTACAATTAGCAAGAGAATAACAAAGAAGTCCCGAAACTAGAATAACAAATCACCAACAACACAACAACAACATCAAAACTCCCAAAACCCAGAAACACAATCACTATAACATCAGTTAAAGGGCATAAAGAGAACGATAGCACAGAATGTACACTACCCATAAGCTGTTTGCCTTTACTTTTTTCTCTGGCGAAAGAAATATCAAACACTATAAGACAGCAAAGGAAGTAATATAACATCAAGAACCCCAAAACCCAGAAATAAAATCACTTATAACATCAATTAAAGGGCATAAAGAGAACAATAGCACAGAATGTACAATACCCATAAGCTGTTTTTCTTTTCTTTTCTTTTTTATCTGGTGAAAGATAGATTCTTACCATGAATCAATTGATAAAATATGCTCCTCAGAAGAGACTCCTTCCCTCATCCCTCTCTCTCTCTCTCTCACTCTTACTCTCTCGGTCTCGATGGATGTTGTTTTCTTTCTGCATTTATTTCATGAACTTTTTTTCTCAAGATAGAATGAAAAGATACAATCTTTATATCTTTATGCCTGTTTGTGAAGTTTCTATATGTGCAGTGCTTTTCTGTACGAGGGATTGGAGTGGATTTGTGAGTAAGCTGTTGTTGTGTTGGCAGAGAGAAGCAGTGGGAGAGTAATGGTTGATTACTCTTTCTCAAATTGATCCGGTAGATATCTATCTGCAAACTCAATTAATGATATTTTATTTTATATTGTATTTTTCTAAAAAATTAATAACGTACTTTATCTGGTATCCACCAAACACAACGTTAAGGAAAGGAAAGGAAAGATAAGATTGCCTTACTCTGGTGGCCAACTTATTTTCTCGTTCGTTGGTTCTTTCTTTTTTCTTTTTCCATTTTGATTTTTTTGTTTAAAAATTTAGGAAGTTTAACTCCACATTCGTTATGGTAAACAAATAAACTTATTACTATCGAGTGGGTTGGTCCAGTAAAATGTCAATCGAACTTCTCATCTTAAGATTAGATATTTGAGCCTTAGAATCTACAGTGGAACTCGATATTCAATTGTTATACTAGTGTAATTAAGTTTATTTTTGAGATGAGTAATGGATGCGATTAAGAGTCTTATGATCCCACTAATGAGAATTCATTGAAATAATCTCTTGACACTCTCTTTTGTCTCATCCCTTTTTTGCTTATTAAAAAAAAAACTAGAAATCTTATTAACCAGCAAAAAATACCTCCGAATTATGATTCAAGCCTATAATGTGCAGATTAAATATAATAACATCGTCAGCCCTTATGTTAGGCAATAGGACAACTTGAAATTAGGAAAGGTAAAAGATTGATTAGGCCCCAAAATGTATCCAAATTTTTTTTAGGCACCCATTTTTTTTTTGAATGGTTCTATGCACCTCTTCTTTTCAAATGTTAGGAATATTCATGTTAACTTACACGCACTTTAACTAATCTCTTATTCGGTCTGGTTAAAAGATAAGTCATTCATGTCAAAATTAAAATTTTTATGAAAGATAAATAATTAATTCTTTATGACCTGACTTTAATAAATTATAAAAATTTAAATTCAAGATATCTAAATTTATAATTAGTTCACGTTACAACTTGAGTTAACAATTCAAAAAGAATTTTCGTAAAGGTACATTTTCATAAAATCTTAAAAGGAGAGCCAAGTTCCATTTTTCGTAAGGTCTTTCTTTTCGATGCCAAATAGAAAGCCCAAAAAAAGAATGAACAATTTACATTTTAGAAAAGCCTTTTTCAAGCCCTAAAAAGAGGAAGCCTTATTCATTTTTAGAAGCCCACAAATTGAGAGTTTTGACGAGAAAAGACAGCCCAGCAGGCACTAAAATCACAAAATGATCACGACGTTTATATTCTGTACATTATTTCTAGGGGCGTAACTCGAGTGGGTAGGACTGGTCGGATAGTTAACTCTAATTCAATTTTAAGTATATAATTTTTGATCTTAATTCTTAAAGTTAACCCTAATCCTACTTTGGGTTGATGGACTCAACTCAAGCAATGCCCGAGTTAAATTCGGGTGGCCCCGAGTTAATAATTTCGAATTGATTTCAGATTATTTTACCGGCTAATTTCAGGTTAATGTTCTAAACCTGATACGTATATTACATAATATTTAAATAATTTAACAATTAATAACTTCAATCAAATTTTTAACATAAAAACCATAATATTAAGAACTCAATATAATAACAATTATACAGAACATTAATAAACACAAAACCAGTTTAACAAAAATAAACAGAACACAAACACTGCTGCCAGAGAATGACTTATTGTTTACCAATGACAATCAATCTCTTAAACAAATATATTTCCAAGTCAAAATTCAACAATATGCATAAACAACCACATCTTAGCATAAACACAAATGTCATAGGAAACTTTCTATTTTGATTTGATTTGAGATTAACCTAGAATAAAATTATATTTATATAATATTAATTCGGGTTGTACCCCGATTCTAATATTCGGATCCAACCTGTGAACCCGATGGTTCAATCCAAGGTTCGCCTAAATTGAATTTGGGTTTAGATTTTTTGACCCATGATCAACCCAAATATTAAAAACTCTAGCTCAAGTCCTAATTTTTTCGGGTTGACCTGGGGTTGAAATCAGGTTACCTAACTCAAGTTGCACCCTAATTATTTCCTGTCACTTGAACACTTTTTTTTTTTTAATGGTCAGAGTCTTCAAATTAATTTATGCTCACTTTGATTATTTTTTTTATCTAATTTGGTCTAAGACTAAATAATTTATGAAAGATAAATTCAATTATTATTAAGATTAAAATAAGAAGAAGTTCCGTCACTCGAACACGTTTCCTATCCAGGTACGACTACCGACAAAAGTTTATTGCTTATTTTATGCATATTATCATATACGTTTAATCATGAAAATTTGGACATTTGTCGTCCAATTACACACAAGTTTCAACTTTGAATGTTTTTTGAGAAGGATTTGAATTGGATTGTCAAAACTTAAGTTTGACCAAAGATGAGATTCAAAGATGAATTTGAGGGGGTTAATGCTATTCATGCCCGTGTTTGGTATGCGCAGGGTATATTACTATTATAATAATATATTTGTATATATTTAACTTTTTTGTTCTTTAACCAATTTGTATATACGAGGTATATAGGATATATAGAGATATAAATATCATTTACATGTTAAATCTCCAAACCCACGAGTGAAACCCACCTCCCCTTGGGTTTCAGGAAATTCAAATATGTGGATTTTATGACCGGACCATGATCGGATCGGACCGAGTTTGAAATCTTATCCTTATTCCCTGGTTGTCAAACTTGGGTTCACTCCCCAACCCATGTTCCCAAAACCCCCAAACCCCCGTATCATATCAAACAACCCCTTAATGGCCAACTTTTTGCAAGGTCATTCAATTTTTAATAAAATTTGGATTCTCTTGTTTTCTGATTCATCTACTACCAGATAGAATCCATTCAAGAAAGAATATTTTGGTTTTGTTGATTCTGTGATGGAAGAAAAAGACTAGAATGCTTCCAACACTAGTTCGAAAAATAGTGTTCAACACTTTGGTTCTAAGATTTTTTTTTTGAATTTTATTGCTCTCAAGCTTTCGTTTCCGCTCTATGTAATATAAGTTAAGGGTGTTGCGTGGTAGTATTTAGCTGCTTTGGATCGTGCGCGTGTTATGCTTATGTGTAAAGTGAACCAAAAACCACATGACTAATGGTACCCTTTTCTCGCAACCAAATTCACAATAGCTTAAAAGAGTTGTTAATATCATTCCAGTGCTCTTTAGAGAGCCTTGGATTCCGAATGGATTTAGGGACACCATACCTGAATCCCAAGCTCGCCTGCTCACCGACATGTGCCCAATCTGTGAAAAATCAAATTCTAATACTTATGCACCCACCAAATGCAATAATTTGTGTTAGATGCTGGAAGTACCCCATGTTGGATGGTGGTTGGAGTGTGAAAAATATGAATTTAATGCCAAATTTTGACAACTTGACTTTATATAGGTCGATAGGGAAGCCATATAACATGTAGACCCAACAATGACGTGGTAACACACGGTACCCGCGTGCAGATAACTTGAAAGAGAAGATACTAGAGCGTAAATATTTTGAAAAAAGGTAAATTTAATTGTTAGATGTGGTTATATTAAAATTTAGGTGGTTAAACATGGTTCACGAGAAAATTATAGTTGGTTATATCTGGTCATTTAAAAAAATTGAGTAGTGATAGTAATGTAATTAGGAAACAATTAAGTATAGTGAAAGAGGGAGTTATTAGTGATTATTTTAGGCATTTTATGGGTATTATAGTCATTCTATCATATGGGGTGGACGGCGTTCAATTTTAGAGTGAGATTAGAGGAGAGTAAAAGAGATATGAAAATTGAAAGAGATAAATTATGAAAGACTATATGTAATTATCGATAGTTATGAGTAGTTAAGATAAGAAGAGAAGAGGAGACTTTTAGATATTTCAAATGTGCCCTCCTTCTCTCCCTCAATAATAGTATATGTAAGTATTGGTAGTTATGAGTACTTAAGATAATAAGAGATGAAGATTATTATAGGCATTTGAAATGTAGACCCCAAACACCCCCCATCTCCCTTTACTAGTATAGATATAGACTATCCATTTTTGTTGAAAGCATATTAGTTTCAAACGTGTTATACAATAAAAACTCAAAACTCACACTTATAAAACATCTCACCTATTTCGCCAACCAATTTGAGACGAAATTACATAAATATAGTATATTCACCTCACCTCATCTATCTTGGTCTCAAAATTCAGGAATCTTGGCTATGCTCTTGAAAAGCCAAAATGGGCAGTGTTATAGGTTGATGGGTTACGGAGTTATACCAATCTAGTAAAATCTCATTTTACGTTCCTATTAAAAACAAAAAAAAGGAAGTGAGAACAAAATATAAGTTGTGAAGTAGCATATATATGCCATATGGAAAAGAGTAATCTAGTTATCCTAATCATTTGATCAAATTTACCAACTTAATTAACCGTTGTTGTTGGATTAGCACTGAATGGTATATTGGGTTGGGTCCAGTACTAAAACAAGTGTAGCAGTTTTTTATGTTAGCAATTTAGGTGGCATTGTTTGTTTCCAAAAGAATTACCTCTCCAAGCAGCATTGATGAAATGGAAAGGAAGATTTGGTAGTTGATGGACTACATGGTGATAGGTAACTAAGGATCAAGGTAGGTTTTCTAATCAAGTCTGTCCAGGCATCATGACAATTTAGCATAACTATATGTCGTTATATACAAATTCATATTATTCAAAATTAACCTATTTACAATAATCTGTGTAGTGTTTTTGTCTTATTTACCTAAACTAGAGTAGTTAGAATAATGTGTATAGTGTGTTTGTCTTATTGTGTGCGTAAGAGAGAGAGAGAGAGAGAGAGGGTGGGGGTGGGGTGGAAAATAGCTTCAAAACTTCCCTTGTGTTGAAAGCTTTCATTGGGTAGTGGGTGATGCAAACCGAATTGTCGTTGTGTATGGCAGCAATAGTCAATGTCATACTATTTTGTGTTGAATATGCTATGTAGTACTACAAACAAATGAGACTCTTCTTCTTCAATGACCCTATGTTTCTCTCTTCTTCTCACTTATTTTCACACCTCCTCATATGTCAAGAGCTGGGTTAGGTCTCTCTCTCTCTCTCACTTCAGGGGAAATTTTCCAGAAAAAGTACTCCCTGATAGCACTAGACTAACTGCACAAGCTGCATCATTCAGTTTATAATATGCAAAATGATTCACAAGATGAACAATTCCGGGGCTAAATCCCCTTGAGCTGAGCCATCAACATCTGTGGGTGTGAACCAAAATATTACAATTTGGATGATCACTCTACTTTGTTCCTGCCAATTTTAACCAATTTGATTAAAATTCTCATTCTTTTATTTTTCTTTTTACCCATTAAATTTGAATAATAGTTACTTTTGTTTCCTTTCTTCAGGTTGATTGAATCACACAAAGGAGGAGTTTTCTTTTCCATTCGTGATGGAAACGAGATCGCCAAAACTTCCAGCAATAAGGGAGAAGAACCAGTTGAGCTGTATGTGGGGATTACTTAGTATCTTTTACTTCCGTCAGGATCATCACAATCAGAAGTGGATTTCGAATGGGAGGAATGCGAATAAACATGGTATCGGTAACTTTTTCTTGATAATATCCTATTTGCATGGTTATGCAATACTTTTCACATTATTCGAAAATCTTGGTCATTATGTTTATCTCAACATATGAAACTATTGCTGTCTGTTTCAAGAGATGCAGATAGTAATTTGTGTTCACTTGAATTCAGGTCTGATGTTTTATTGGTATAAGTTTTTCATTTTAATAAATGCAGTTAGACTCTTAGCAGATGCCAAAGTGCAAAGGATTGAAAACTTTGACATAAGATTTGCTGGTCCCTTGATTATGTTTGATGTTATGAAACTTAATTTCCTATGGTTCACATGTTTTTTTTAATATTAGGGTGATAAAAGTACCATGTTTGACATGAGGTTGTGAATTTAAGTTTACTGAATTCTTTTCTTTCAGGCGCAGAAAATTCAAGGAGCAAAGTTAACGTGCTTACCAACTCTCATGAAAAATGTCGATGCATTGATGTAAGTAGAGCAACATACTTTTTCATTTCGATCTAACAATAACCTGCTCCAGTATCAAATTTGATACCTGATAGATCTGTTTTATTGATCAGTAATTCTTTTAAAAACCATGGAATATGCTACAGAAGTGTATGTGATTTCACAGAAATAACTAGTCCTGTTTTGTTAGTCATAATTACGCTCGTATAGTAGAACAATAATGGCAGAGATTTCTAGTTGTACATTTGACAGATGTTAGAATTGTCAATCCAAACCTTTATTTATTCTGTGCTGTACAATGTAGCTTAATATTCCTATAAAAACATGAAAGAATATATGTTATGATGAACATTTGTAATGATTTCAGGGCAGAGAAAACATCAAAACTCCAGTAGCTGATGATGGTGAGAGAAGTGTAAAGAAACTCATTGAAGAGGAGATGTTCATAGATAAACAAATAATGTGCAGTGAACTGCAACATATACAATCCAAGAGTGGATTTTTCGGTCACTTAGCCAAGAACCATAAGAAGGCAAGCAAGACTTCTCAGAAAGCTTATCGGTTACCTGTTGGCCATTTGAAAGATGCAGCAAGTGTAGAGCATCAGCACCATTCTCATACACGTTCGGAGGAAATGTCTTTAGATAAGCACATGGCAGCTCTATTAGAAGCATTCTACAATCAGATCCATCAAAATAAAGGAAGATATGATAGTGGTGTGCAAAGGGGTGTAACTAGTGCAAACTATGATCAGCAGGATGTGATCAATTGGTCACTAGTTGGGACAAGTGCTGAGACATTTATAGACCGGATGTTTATTGACAGAAAACTCCACCCCAAAGATGAATCAAGCCATGAGTCTAAATATGAACACTTATCCGATGCACTGGAAGTTTTGAATTCTAACCGGGAATTGTTTCTGAAACTTCTACATGATCCGAATTCTGTGTTAGTGAGACGCATCCAAACCTTGCAATATTCGCAGCCAGAGAAAGAACCAAGTAACTCATTCCAAGAATGCAAAATCCCAGAAAGCAAAATTAGTGATGTTAAGCAATGCGAAAGGCCTGTAGATATTAGGCAGATCAGGAAGCGAAATGTGCATGACTTTTTCTGGAAAATGATTAAATCCTCATCAGGATATCCATCAAAGGGAAGAGATACTCCTCGGTCATCAAGTACAATGGTAGATTTGAAGTCAGCTCCAAAAAATATGCAAAATTCTGAGGTTGTAACCTGCAATTGCTCTTCCCTGCTGTACCATCATAGTGTGAGAAATAAAGGGCAGATTATCAAACCTACATATTTTTCCTTCAGAGAAATTAAAAGGAAGTTGAAACATGCAATGGGAGAGAAAAGGAAAGGGAAGCAAATGATTCCAACATATGGCACTTCCCCTTCTGCAAACCAGGTCTTGAAAGATAATAGACAAGGGATTGATCAGGATAGTGGTAGAGGCAGAACTGTCAAAATTCCAACTGATGTCAATAGGGAATATAGGATTTGCAAGGTGAGAGATATGAAATCAAGCATTGGACACCAACAAAAGGAATTTGACATTTTGCTGGAGGCAAAGAAACACCTTTCTGAGAGACTAAGAAAGGTGAAATGTGAAACTTTCTCAAGTAAACAAGCCCCAATAACCATGGGGAGGATACTCCTTTCACCCGAATGTGATCTTTTGCCAGCTCTTAGCCCTAAAAAGGGCTGGGAATACGGTTCTGTTTCTTCAGAGATGAGATTTTCCCTTTGCAGTCTGCAACTGACCAGTGAGAACAGTTTGCAGCAGAAAGAAACGAAAACGAGTTGGTCAAGTCCATTGAGGCAGAAGGACATTTGTTTACCATATGCTGATTGTGGGAAACATGATTATGAATTGCATATTTGTGAGCAAAAGCCAAATTACTTGGAAAACATATTTCCTGATACTGAAATCCATAAGAACATCCATTCCCATAGAGATGATTTGAGCCACAGTGGTACGAGTTGCTCTATTTTCCACCAGCTGCTTATTCCATAATTCTATGTCAGTCTAAGCAATTCTACATACTTCTGCAGGTTATGCAAAGATTGTGGAAACAAAAGGCATTACACAATTGGAAGATTTGAGTACACTGGAAGTGCCCTCTGAACCAAACAGTATGCATTTCACCAGGACTAGACAGGGCACCAACGCAGCCAAGTTACATGAGGAAAATGGATACCCTGAATGTTCAACACCGGTAAGTCCTTTTCCTCTTCCAAAAATACCACAACTCTTCTATTTTTCAAAAATTCTGTAAGTATTTGTTAATCTCAAGTGGTTTAAGTATGCCTATTGCTCCATAAAGTGTTACAATTTTCTGCTTCTGTCAGTATTTCTCTCCAGAGATTTGGCCTGTCAAATCTCCATTCGATGGATCTTCATCGAGTCCATTAACCATTCACCAAGTTGAAGTTGTGGAGAGCAGTAAAGATAGAGAAGATCATCCAAGTCCTGTTTCTGTTCTTGAGCCATTTTTAACAGACGATGTTACTAGCCCCACAAGCCCCATGTTGAACCTTGGTAGGTCTAATACGAAATTAGCTTACGATCATTTCCTGCTTTTCAATATGCAATCAAATTAACATAAATAAAATTATCAGCAGCTGAACCACCAGTGCAACTACATATTGATTTTGAAGAACACTCAAATGAGGTCTCTCATCTTGGTCCTAAAATGAATTTAAGTGCCTGCCTGGAGGATCAAGAGTTCATATCTGCACGTGTAAGGACCGTTTTACAAGCTTCATGTCTGAATTGGGAAGAGCTCTCAGTGACTGGGGATTTATCAGAACAACTCCTTAACCCATCCTTACATAATGAGGCTGAGTTATTTCCTGATGAACTTTCTTGTGATCACAAGCTCCTCTTTGATTGTATCGACGAAGTTGTATTGGAGATTCATCAACGCCATTTTGGATGCTCCCCTTGGATGTCATTTCTCAATCCAAAGCTCGGGCCGGTTTCATTGGAGGGGAATGTGGTTGAAGAGGTAATGGAAGAAGTTAATTGGCATCTTTTCACACAAACAATGTCACGGACACTAGATCAGATTGTTGGAAAAGATATAACAAAATCTGGAACATGGGTTGATATCAGACTTGATAGTGAAGTTATCGCGACTAAAATTGCAGACAATGTTGTAGAAGAATCGATAATGGATGTGGTACTTGAGGTCCAAAGTAGAAGCCTGTCATAAAAGCTCTATGCCTCTATATGTTTCTATCCAAACTGTTACCAACATGGGTTTGTAGTCACTGGTTTGGCTGCTGATGCTTGTGTTAGCCTTTATGTTTAATTAAGATGGCCCACATGTCATGTTAACTTTTTAATAAATAAATATTATGTATATTTAATATATACCTTATTTATTGAGTCAAATCTTCTAAATAATTAACGTTAATGTAATCGTCCATTACTTCTACTATCAAATGGAGTGACCATCGTAGAGCACTTCAAAACAGTTGTAACTCCTGATGGAAGGACGTTATTTACAATTTCTCTATTGAATAAGGGTCCCTGCCTATATATAATTTCATGGATGGGATTTTCCATCAAGTTATATGGAATTCAGATATCATATACGTAAGCAGTAAACTCTTGTCTTATATACCTCCATACAATACATATTTGTGAGGTTATTATTGAGTGTTGAGATCAAGGTTGTGATACGGATTCGTGCTTATTGAGGTCGTTAGGTTCGTTAATTATTCTCTCTATAGAGAATTTAGATTTCTTGTTCTCGAATTTGAATATTAATAGTAGGAGGTAAGTATTCAATTCCGCTATGGAAAAAATGGAAAGATTAAATTCTTCAATAAAGTTTATCAATTGGTATCAGAGTCATCCTTCTGTCCATTTTGTTCAATTATTATGATTATAAGAAATCATATTTCATCCGCAATCCTCCTACCGTATGTTTGATGTTTGATTTCTATTTAGATATTTTGTCTGCGATTCATATTTTGTCTCCTTTGAAACATGAGGACTTCAATATGATTGGAATTCGCACAAATATGTACCACAAAAACATGCATTTTCTTGATATATTAAGTCCACACAAGAAATATTAAAATAATCAAAATTTTTTTATAAAAGCTTGGATGTTGGGACGTGTGCTTTTCTTGAAACATTAAGTCATCACAGAAAACTTTCGGTCACATGTATAGCCCACATTTGGTTTAACTGATTTTATTTTCAGATTTTTAGAATCATTTATTTTACTGGTCTGGTTTTAATGTAATCTTTAAGGCTCACTAAAAAAAAAAAATCAGTAACATGGCACGAGGAACAGTGACATTAATTTCATATTACTGTTATGATTACTGTTATGTTAATAATATTAGCATAAATAATATGTCACTGTTATGTCTAAGGATTGTTTATTGTTATGTTCTCGTGTCTTATGCATATGATTTTGCTCCAAATAATTATTTAATAATATTAGCATATTTTTGGATCAAGTTTAGTTATGATATATACATGTTAGACAAAAACATTTTTAAAAAATTATTTGACATGAAAGATTTATTTATGTCATGAACTATGTCTCAGGGAGATCTATTGACTTAAGAATAACCACAACATCTTGAGTTATATTATTGAATGATCAACATTTAGTTTGATCATATTAAGTATATGTTTAATATCTTCATATTATAATTAAGTTGTTATAGATAATTACTCGGCCCCACAGGGAAGTATTTATTTTATACTGCTTAATTGAAATAAGATATTGAATGAAGTATTAAGGGTTTTGGATACCTTATACTTACAGGTTTGAGATCCTCTGTTTCTTAGTATCTTAATTCATTAGTCTTATTATAAAGAATAATAACTAAATCTTGTACAATTTATGACCTCTACCCACAGAAAGATTTAGATTTGCTTTATTGAATTTTACAGTTATTGTTTCAAAGTGCTTGTTATATTCTCGATTATTGCAGTTGTTGTTATCTCTTTATTTAATAAGTCTTTTAACATTCCATCGCTGAGTGGTGAAAATTTTTCGGATTGGAAGGACAAAATTCTCTTGACATTAGGGTATATGGACTTAAATTTGACACTTTGCATTGAAGAACCTCAAGTACCCATTGAGTTAAGTTTATTGATTAAAAAGAGTGTCTATGAGCGATGGCAACGATCTAATCGCTTAAGTCTGATACTCATCAAGTCACATGTGAGCAAGAGCATCAGAGGTTCTATTCCAAAATGCGATAAAGTAAAGGACTACATGAAGGCCATTGAAGAGCAATTTGTCAGTTCAGATAAAGCCTTGGCCAGCACCCTAATGAATAAGTTGTCACGCATGAAGCATAACAAATCTAAGAGTATGCGTGAACATATTATGGATATGATGGACATTGCAGCTCAACTTAAGCCCCTTGATGTTGAGATCTCTGAGTCATTCCTTGTTCAGTTCATACTTAACTCTCTCCCTGTAGAAAATGGACCATTCAAGATATCTTATAACACACAAAAAGAAAAATGGCCTATTAATGAAATTTTGACTATGTGTGTTCGAGAAGAGGAGAGGCTTAAGCATGAAATTTGGAGAGTGTCTATCTGATCACTCACAAAGGTGGACAAGGTAAGAAAGACAAAAGTGTTCTTAAATAGAAGAAAGATGACAAAGAGTCATTCAAGAAACATGGCTATAAGGATGTTTGCTTCTTTTGCAATAAGAAGGGACACTTCAAAAAAGATTATCTGAAATATAAAAAGTGGTTTAAGAAAAAAGGTAATCATATATCTCTTGTGTGTTATGAATCCAATTTAACTGATTCTCATCATAATACTTGGTGGATTGATTCGGGTATCACAATTCATGTCGCCAATATCATGTAGGGCTTCCTCAGCCTAAGAAAAACGATGGAAAGTGAACATGACATCTATTCAGGAAAATAGGATGCGTTTGCACGTCGAGGCTGTTGGACCTTGTAGACCTTTTTTAGAAACTGACTTTGTTTGGGATCTTGAAAATACTCCTTATGTTCCCTCATTTTCTAAGAACTGAATTTCTGTTTCTAAATTAGTACCTTTAGGATTTGAATTCAATTTTGTTGGTTTGGACTTTCGTTTGTTCAAAAACTTTAGTTTCGTTGGTTATGTGACCTTAGTTGATGGTTTGTACAAATTAAATTTGGATCCTGTTTTTGAACATAGTCTCCTAACCTTGCATGATGATATTGGCACTAAAGGGACTATTATTGATCAGAATTCCTCTACGTTGTGGCACAAGAGATTAGAACATATTTTCATAGAAAGAATGAAAAGATTGGTTAATGATAGACTCTTAAAGGCTCTTGATTTTTCTAATTTTGGTGCTTGTGTGGATTTCATAAATGGAAAGCAAACCAAAAAAACCAATAAAGGTGTCAAGAGGAGTAAAGAAATACTTTGAATCATACACACTAATATCTGTGGACCATTTTCTACCCCTTGCTTAACTAGTCGAAGATATTTCATCTCATTCATTGATGATCATACACAGTATATGTATCTCTATCTTCTATTTGACAAATTTGAGGCATTGGATGCTTTTAAAACATTCAAACGGGAAGTAGAGAAACAATTGAAAAAATCAATTAAAAATGTACAGTCAGATTAGGGTGGAGAATATTATAAAAGGTACACAGATTTGGGACAAAGATCAGGTCCATTTGCTGAATATTTAAAGGATGAAGGTATTGTTACTCGGTATACTATGCTAGGTTCATCTTACCAAAAGGGTGTGGCTGAAAGGCGAAATTACACCCTTATAGACATGGTAAAAAGTGTGCTAAACAATTCTATTCTTCCTTTGTTTTTTGTGGAGTGAAGCCTTGAAGACAATAGTGTATATCTTAAATAGGGTTCCCACTAAAGCCGTTTTCAAAACTCCATTTGAAGTATGAAAAATGATGGAAACCCAGTTCAAGACATTTTCACATATGGGGTTGTCTAGTTGAGGTTAAGATTTATAATCCACCAGTCGGTGGATATTTCATTGGCTATGCAAAAAAGTCTAAAGGTTATAAATTTTATTGTCCATCACACACACCTAGAATTGTTGAGGCCAGAAATGTAAAATTTATTGAGGGTGTTGACATTAGTGAGAGTATTCCTCAAAATATTAAGTGGGAAAAATCACGGGATTCAAATACCATATCCGTGAATAAAGATAAAATTGTTATCATTCAGGATAATCTAGATGATATTCAAGTACCACCACTACAAGAGGAACAAGTCAACATAGAGTTTACAGTTCCAAACACACAAAATATGAATGAGAGTGTAGAACTAAGGAAATCCTCAAAGGTAAAAAGACCAGTTATTTTTTATGATTACTTTATGTACCTATTGGAGTCTGACTTTGATGTTGGACATAAGGATGATCCTATCTCGTTTTCACATACTATAAGTGAAGAAAATTCCATATTTTGGTACGAGGCCATGAAAGAAGGGATGAAGTCCATGACTAAAAATCAAGTTTGAAAAAATGTTGAGTTACCTAATGGAGTCAAGGCCATTGGTTGTAAGTGGGTCTATAAAACCAAGAAGGACTCAAATGATAATGTTGAACAATATAAGGCCAAACTTGAAGCTAAGACTTCACTCAAAGAGAAGGCATTGACTATCACAATACCTTCTCTCCAATTTTTCTAAAAATGACTCATTTAGGATTATCATGGCATTAGTAGCTCATTTCGATTTACACTTACATTAAATGGATGTGAAAGCAACATTTTTAAATGGGGATCTTGACGAAGAAGTGTACATGAAACAACCTGAAGGATTTTGTTCTGATGAGAATAGTCACCTGGTTTGCAAGCTAAAGATATTCATATATTCAGTATCAAAATTTTGGGTACTCAAATTGTCTGAAGTGTTGATGAGTGCATGAAAGTGCATTCTAATACCTTATTATTGAATTAAAATGCTAAAATGTGAATAAAAATAATTAGATATAATTATTATTATTGAATTTAATATCTTTTCACACTGAGATATATTTGAGCATGATTTTATAATATTTAAATCTTAAATATTTCATTATTGATTAGTGAGAGATAATTTATAATTGAGCTTTATACTTAATATTTTTGGGATTTTATTATTCTAATTTTATATTTATTTTTATTTTGATGGCAGCCAATGGAACAAAAGGTTGAAACTGATATAACTTTCACATGGATCCAACACTCATAATTTTTATTGGACTTTATTTTTCTTAAATTACACAAGATTTAGACTTTATGGGCTAAAGTAAAACGGTTTGAATCAAAAGAGACCGGAATAGATATGCAGGAATAAAGA